GCAGTTGTTTGGCTTATTCACCATTCATTATATTATCCTTTAGAAAAGCCATCTAAGCTGGCAGCCATTGTCCTGTGGTACTGAAGTCCACAAGTTAAAGTTCAATTTCCTTAAGTATGCACCAGAATTTATTTAACCAAGATAATACATGCGCTGTTTTGATAATGTATTTATTTCTCTGGTTTAATAAATTCAAGACACATACTTAATTCAAAATCAGTTATTATAAAACACTTCCTTAATATTAAACTAAAATGGGGGGAAAACATTAGAAATCTTTTTACATGCAGCCTATGCTGTAATCTTCAGTCTGTTTACTTTAAAGAAGCAAATTTCAGTGGATGCGAAACAAAATGGAGGGATTTGATGATATGCCAGCCTTGTTATAAGATATGTACCATATTATACAAGGAATTAGGACTATCCTGAAGGTTTGAGTCACAACATCCAGGACAAAAGTAGCACTTTCGTAGGCAGCAAATGCCCGATCCCCTCAAGAACCTGACCATGTTTTCCTCTTCGTATCTAGTCAGCAGTAAGACTCCCTGAGCTTAATGGGACTTACTCCCAGGTAAGTTTATACAGTATCGCTACCCTAGTCGTAATTTTTCCTAGCTGTTTGCAGCTCTATTTCCTCTACTCAATGTTGCTTTGGTGCCATTTTTAGAGCTTCCTTGTTCAAGTGACCCTTCTCAAACCACGATCACAAAGGGAGCATGATGGAGTTACATGACGATCCCAGTTGGCTGGGTGGCGGTGACACCATGTTGACGGGTGTCGGGCAGGGGAGAAAACACAACCCCACCACCAAAGCAAGAGGGAAGCACTTCCCGTCTCAGCACCACACTTGGCAGTCAGATTGCAGCCCTTTCCACACCAGTGCAGCAAAACAGGGAGAGTCAGCCCCGTTTCCTGAGCCACGGGCATGTGTTTCCTCTCGGTAAAGCTGGCCCTTCAGAGCACTGGCACAGAGCGCAAAGAAGGGTTTGCACGTAGATGCCATCCACCTACTCACCGCCCAAGCAAGATGCTTTACAGCTCAGATATACTACAGCTGGTTTAAATGATCTTCACTTTTAAAACAATGATTAGTTGTCATTTACCAACTGGAATGAGCATGTTTAGCACAGGTTACCTCAGTCTGTTTCAGCACTCTCCTAAATTGCTGAAAACAAGACAGTCACAGACAGTAAGGTCTCTGGACATGCCACCTTTCTGCTACTTAACAAAAGTTCTCTGACAGTCCTGGCAGGTGCAAGACAAAGACCACTCTACCCAGGCAGCTGGCAACGCTTCCTCTGACAGAGGCACTTGTGTTGGACTCAGTGCCCACAGTAGTTTAGTTTTAGGATCCTGCTAACATCCAGGGCTTAATCTGAGCCAGGCTGCAGCATTGACACATCCACTGCAGTGCCAAGGCTCAGCTCAAGTCCATATGAACCAATAAAAGTGTTCCTAAGCATGCCCTAAGAGAGGGCTTCTCTTAGCACAGACACACCACCATGCAAGTCCAAATGTTGGGGGATAAGGCTTGCAAAGAAGATTACCCAACTTCTAGGAAAGCCCAGCTTGCAACCTCTCCTTTCCAAACAGCACATTTTGCAAGTGTCCAAAAAAAAAAAAAAAAAAAAAATCAACCCATGAAGCACTGCTCCCTAAGCAAAACATCTGCCTGGCTCCTTATAGAAGTAAACTAGGAATGGGGAACTTCTGTTTCTCTGCCTGTTTTGGCTGCCAGATCCCCTCACCCCTCACCATTGGCTTTGCCAGCTGGGGCTGAAGGGAGACAAAAGCAAAAACATCTGGAGGGTCACATTGTTGAAATAAGATGATTTCTTCAGCGCAGGAGCCAGACCCTCCCTGTGGCCCACTCCCGCCATGCAACTATTGAGAGGAGGGAGAGAGAAAGAGGGCGTTCCCTCAGGCAGAAACCAGCCATGCTGTTTCCTCATTTGCATCCCCATTCTCTGAAGGACGTTCTTGAAAAGCCTATCATGGAACCTAGGAAGCTACCTTAGCTCAGACCCTTGGTCCATCTAGCCCTGCACTGTTCACACAGGGAGCAGCTCTGCAGGGGTTCACCCAAGAGTTTCTCCAGTCCTACCTGGAAATGCCAGGGACTGAACTTCAGACCTTCCACATAGCATAAAGCCCAGAAGCTCTCACACTGAGCTGCACACCTGCCACTTTAAAAAACATATTCTTGCGTTTCCAACTTGGTGTGAAGAAGGAGGGGCCAGTGAGGCATTTGGAAATCCCAGAAAAAATGTTGCACACAAGAGAATGGAGCAATGGTGGTCAGTTGAGTTGCATGTGTGGCTTTTAAGCAGACAATTCAGACAAGAAAAGCATCTAAACCTCCAGCTCTAAATCCCGGAATAAAAAGCAGTTGTACCTCTCAGACACTATGGAGGAGATGCTGAATGATCAGTATCTTTGGAACATATCACGCTGCATATGTTCCAAAGCCCTTGCAGAATTAGGTTCTCATTTACACCAAACTAACTAGGCAGACCCACCACATACACAAAGAGGGTTCCATGCTGCATGTTATGTCTGCAATTGTTACTCATTTGCTACAGACTTCGCAGAGGTTTGCCCTTGAGACACCAAGACAGAACAAACATATTACATGAAGATTGGGTATCACAGTCCTGGGCTGCTAGATCGTCCCAGGACAGTCCTAAGAAAAAAATCCATCTCAGCATCGTTTGAAAGAGGAACCGTATATGCCAGTGCATTTCTACACTGCATGTGCAGACATGCACACCCTCCTTCTCCTGACACATTCTACCAACTTACATGATTTACACATTTATTGTGAAACAGACTTCCATGGGCTAGAGCCCATTTGGCACATGCATGGCGTGGGCTGTTGCCCTAAACAGAGACAGACAACTTGTTACTTCCGACTTGTTATCCTTGTGGACGCACACAACAATGTGTTAGGAGAGGCCATCATGGCGACAGGCATGGATGAAGGGGTCAAAGTGGTGGCCAAAACCAGTTCCCTGGTGATGTGATGGTGAAGAGTCTCACGATTCACCCTGAAAGTACCTTCAGGACCAAAATCAGATCTGTAGGAATTGCAAGAACTGGAGCACCTGACCTTGCCTCCACCCCAGACCAGCCATGCTTTGCTGGGATCTGATGCTTGCCTGTTCCTGGCTCTCCCTTAAGCTCCTGACCTGTCAGGCATTCTGGGTAACTGACCCTCACTTGTTCCTGTCTTTTCTGGTCCTACCGTATCATGCCAAGATCTCCTTCCATCTCCATCACCCCCGGACTTGGTGTTCCAGCCACAGACACCAAGTGCCTATGCCCTGGACCTGCCTACACCCTGGACCTGACACTCGCACCCCCTTCAAAAACACACACACACACACACACACACACACTGATTTCTCTACCCTTTCTTGGTATGCTTGGATGGGAAGATTTCTGTGCATTCCTCCCTTTCCTGCTGGCTCTGGGGAAAGTACCAATACAGCTGGGCAGGGAGAGAGACATGATTTTGCTGGGAAGGAGCAACAGAGCAGCAGGTTTGCAAGGAGGAATTCAGGAGCTCATGCACACACAGCAAGCTGCAATCAAAGCCTCCACTCCTCATCTACCAAGCCTCACAAAATTCTTTGCTGGTTTTATGACAACAATCTATTACAGAGATCCCTCATCTTTTGTTATGAACTATGGTTACAGCAACAAAAATTTACTACTACTATACTCCAACTCTGTGTTCAAATCAGTCTGAAACCTAAAACCCAAGATCTCAGACATGGTCCCCATGCAAAGCCAGATGTCTTGTTCTTCTCCATGTTAACAGTACAATCCAATGGGACTTTAGTACCAGGAAAAAGGATATAGGGTTGAAGTACAAATCCATTCCTTAAAATATTTAGCAACTTGTTACATAAGGTATTGTCTTCCATCCCTTTGACTACAAACCTAAAACATTTTGCCTCTGTGGTAGACATTGGCTTTCTTTCTTTTTCCTTAACTACAGGAAGATGTTTTGAGAACCATCAGGCTTGTAGCAAGCAGGAGGCAGAAAAGGCTTGGGACACAGGCCAAAGGAACTTACTGCATGGGAATCTTCCATCTCTGGCAAAAGAAGAAGGCTTTGATTCTACACACACTTGGAAATGTGTTCTGTTGACATCAGATCACTTCCAAGTCAGCATGCTTAAGTTTATGGTGCAAATCTACCCTAAAAACACTCAGAAGTAGCAAGCGGATAATGCATCTTTTCTATGACCCAAAAAATCCAAATCACAACAGTTAGATTCCCAGCTTTAAACAAAGGAAACCAAACAGCTATCCCTCTTGACTACAGAGAGAATAATTTTCCAGGCCACAAGAAGTACAAAATGTAGGTACCCATCCAGTCAGGTAACAACTTTTTAAAAATCTATGTCACACATTGAAAAATCTCGAGTATATAAATGTTAGGCTTTTTTGAAGGGCTATCTCCTATTATTCCACTTCTCAGCATATCATTTCATTTCCAGACAAGTAACTGTACTTCCCCGAAACAGATAATATTCAGGGATCAGTCAGAATGTGAAAAGTTATGTCAGTATCATCTAGCAAAAAATGTGCACATAAAATTGCCGTCTTCCTGCAACAATATATTTCCCCAGTGGCTCTTTTGATGTGTCACAAAAGACATGCATGGGCACTTAAAGACAACAAGCAACATCTAAGAGTACAAAACCAGAGAAACCTGCCACATAATCCGAAGCATGGCAACAAAACATACCCTGCTTGAACACTTCCAAAAATCCTTCCAAAAATGACCACAGAAATGAAAGCCAAGAAGGCTGGAGTGGAGGGGGGAAATTACCCTAATCAAAGGTGGCAAGCAAGATGTCTCTCTCCTAGAGCAATGCGAGAAACTCCCCTCGTCTATTTCAAAGGGAAAGCAGTGCAGGGTTCAGAAGCAAAGATAACAGGGGGGTGGGGGGGTGGGAGGGGAGGAATCAATGGAATGGGGAAGGTACCTGATTCTGAACAGCAGGGGAGAGCATCCAGTATCCTCTCCAGGGCCCTGAAGGACGAGAAATTAAAAACCTCAGGGCTTCAACACGTGTCCTCCAACTTCGTGCCTCGCTTCCCTCTGAAGATCCTCAGGACATCCCGCCGAGGAATCGCTGCTAGGCTTGCAGCGGCGAAGCGGTTAAAGCCATCTTGGGGTGGGGAGAGCGCGCGATCGATGGAGGAGCCGGCAGCCGAACCCAAGACTGTAGCACTTTGTTTCCGCGAGATCAAACCCGAGCGATTGCCAATGAAAACAGGAGCAGCCGAGCGACGGGAGCTCGCGCTCTCCGAGCAGAGCAGCCTCGACTGTCTGCGCGCCGGAGGATGTGGGGGTGGCCTTTTGGCGAGAGGGCCAGCTCAGTGGGGTTCTCTGCCAATGGAAAGCTTGGGATTCCTGGAACCAGCAGCCACACGCACCAGGCACTGCGGGCCGTCAGGACTGCAGAGGCAAGAAGAGGCTTCCTGCGGATGAAGCGGGAGCGGAAAGGAATGTCTGAACCCCACCACACCTTCCAGAAATGCTGCTCTTGCAGTAACTCGTGCTTCCTTGATGTTGCCGGCCGTCATCTTCTGCTTTCTGTGTTTGTTCTGGCGGGGGGGGGGGGCCGGGGGGCAGAGAGGCTGCCAACCAAAATTGGAACAAAGGCGAATAGAAGTGGCCGCGAAATCCAAGGACTCCATTCCTAGTTTTCTGATCTGCTGCAACACTCCCAAAGTAATTTCTAAATTCATTCATCTTTCCTACCAGGAGCCAACATTTGACAGGCAGCCCCTGGCATATACTCATACAAGATAGCATCATTATAAGCCTTCATGGGTTGGGTTTACTAGAATTGTATTTTGATGTTTATCGTTTTATGTTTTATGATGCATTAGCAGTCTCAAGCATTTAGACAGTAATAAAAGCTACCCTCATTTTTAAGGCTGCTAACACTAAAAACTCCATGCATATTCAAGTGCATTTGCTTGCATGCATTTGGAACATCCCTGCCAGAAAATTATCTACTATTTTTGCAATCTCCCTACTGTTGAAGTTTAGACTATAAATTCCCTGAAGAAAGAACTATCTTTCTTGCTATACAACCTTGTAAGGCAACATAAACATTCAGTTTCTTTTGAAAACAAACCACTCTCCTACATAAGTAATGAAGTCTGTTTCCCTACCATGTCAACATACTTTCAGTAATTTTTTGCTTCAAAAAATATTATATTGCATTTTATCATTGAGTCATACTATTAGATGACTGGCAAAATGCTGGCTCATTTATTCCCCAAGTGGAAACTGCAGAGGTAGCATATGAATGACATCCTTAAGTCTCCTACTGTGTGACCCTCAGAGGAACATCTCTTCAGAGAGGAGATGCACTCATTCATTCTTCCTGTTACCTGAAAGCACAAGTCAGCTGTGCATCTTATTACTTCTTGAACACACAATGCAATTTCTCCCTCCTTGGGCCTCTCTGCCAAAGTACAGGTAATTTGGCCCCACCTCCAAGCAAGAGAAGTAAAGTGAACACTGAAAAATTAGTTGTCCATGAATTAGCATAAAATATGCACCTTAGGCTTAGCTCTTAGGCTCAACCTCTCTTTTTTCCAATAGTGATTCATAAACACCATGAGCCTGACCTATTATGCAAATACTAGGCAAATACTCCCCAGAGAGGTCCGCCTCTTTCCAGCGCCAGGTAAAAACCTTTTTATTTAAACCCCATTTTAATAGTAATAATAATCTCACACAGTTGCATTTTCTTTTTCTTCTTTCTTTCCTTCTTTTCTTTTTTAGTAATGAATTGCTGCTTATGCTATGTTATTATTGAATGTTTTAATTGTATTTTATATCACCAGTTTTTATTTTTGTAAGTCATCCTGAGGCTTGTTGCAAAGGACGCCATAGAAATGTTTTAAATTAAATAAATAAATAAATTCATGTTTACAGATATGTATTGTATGTTGCAATATCCCAGTTTCAAGTTCAGAGGCAAGCTCATTTGTTCTGCTCGAAGAAGATGGTTTCATAAAAATGGAGATGGTTTGAACACCGAAAGGTTTCTACCAGACATGTCTGGATGCAAGAATATCCAATAGCTAAAGGAAACATGTGGTGGAGGGATTCTAGCAGCCTTGATATAGACAAAGCCAATCCATTTTCATTCAGAACCTGTGATACTGGGTGACTTTTTTGGTACAGAGAATGTACTCTGTAGGAAATTGCATCTCAGCTTCTGCTGGTCCATTTCAACAAGAGGTACAGAACCTCTTTCTGCCAGAGGGCCAGGTTCCATTCCTGAGAAATGGATGCAGGGCCACATTCAAGGGGTGGGCAGACCCGAATACAAAAAGGGAGGGCTAAAAAAGCAAGCATATTCGCATACTTTAGCAAAACCCTCTTACTGCTTTAACTAAACCTTTCTGGAAGCCTCTTGACCTTTTAAAATGGGGAAAGGACATGTATAAATCCTAGAAATCAGCCCAATGAGTGGTGTTTGGAGGAGGGGAAGGTAGGCACAGTCTTCTGGGGAACTCCAGAGAGTCATTTACATCCCCCAGGTCTGAGGTTCTACAACTCTGGGGTTTTATGCATTTAATTTATAATGTTTTATTGGTTTTCCACTTGGCTCTGCACTTTTATTTCATCTGTCAGAACAGCACCAGCAATCACGCTAAGCTGATCATATGCATCACCTTTTGGAGTCTGTTACCAATAAATTTAATCGAAGGAAGCATTTGGATAAATGCCAACCATGCTCTTTAAATATTATGTTTTCAACATTGTCAACACTGTCAACTTTCATGGCAGAAGCCAAACAGGTATAGAATTATAATCAGACTGAAGGAAAATAGTGGGAAAAGGAATCAGCACAATAAACATCGAGAGGAGTGGAGAACAAAGAATGTAAACTGAATGCAGACAGTGTCCGAAAATGGCAAAGCCTGCAGGTCTTTTAAGACAAGGTTCACACTATGGATGTTAGACAGCAGCCAAACTTCATTAGCTCTTAACAAGCTAGTGCAGGTTTAGACAACCTGGTGCTTTCCCATCAGCCCCAACCAGCATGATGAATGATCCAAGACTATGGAAACAGGAATCCGAAGCATCTGAAAGGTCTAAGCCTATATAAGACTGTCATAAAGAATTAAATTTTATGTGGGACAATCCTAAGCACTATCCATTGGTCATATCTAAGAATATGCTTAGCTTTGTAACATTTTCTTTGTCTCCCTGCCAAAAAATGCAGTCCATTTCAGGTACATGGAGAGTTTTCTTGTTACAATGTTTTGCCGAAGATGCTATATGAGTTCCAGTCTGATTTCAGTGGACTTGCCTCACTCTGAAAACATTCTGTTCAAGCAGCATAATAAGAAAAAGAGAGAGAAAATCCTAAATATTTATAACAAAGAATAATCACATTCTTCAAAAGTGAGCGTATTATAGTGGATGTTGTCACCCCCCCCCACAAAAAAAATCAACAGCATTCCTTTCAACATTTCATTTTGGACAAGAATTGGATTTGTGGAGCAAAATACAATGCATTAAATAGTTGATATTCAACAGAAAAAGAATAAATAGGATTTGGGGTGGGGAGAAATCTATAACAGTGCAATCATATCAAATCAGATGTCCCATTCACAGACATACAATATTTATCTGAAAGTTTATCTGAATTTGTTTTTTAAAGCAGAAGTGCTACATTTAAAAAAAAAAAAAAAAGCTTCCCAGTCATTACTACTAATTGCAAGGGTCTCAAGAGCATGGATTCTTCTCGCTTCCCTTCACTCCTGGCTTTTGAAACAAGGTCTGTTGCCAGGCTGTTTCCAAGCAACAGAGATTTCCTCTTAGAGGTTTTTGCTGTTTATTGTTGCTGCTACAATACTACTTGTGAAGTCGGATTGCTTAAGAGGAAAGGTGGGAAACAGTTCACCATTAACTTTTCTGATGAAGGGAAGCCTGCACTGTCAGCTTCTGAGGAAATAAGAAGAAGTTGATGCCCTGTATAACTATTTTTGTAGGGAAACCACGCAGTTGAAATGCATGGCACTGACAGGACGTGACCATTCTGCACATAGGGTTTCATGTCTGCTTGGGTCAATGGAATGGGCTTTCACCGGGACCCTGTGCGAAGGATTTTGCACTCTAGCAAGCCAACTTCTGATTTTTGTGAAAGTTTTGGAGCGGGGGAGTAACTTTTCTGGTTCCTGGACCCAACCCTCCCTGCACCCAGGGACACAGCTAGGGCTGCAGCCCTCCTCGATGCTAAATTACTGCCACCATGCTGCTGGATTGAAAAGAAAATCTCCCTTCTTACCTACAGCATGCCTGATTTCCATCAGCAGTGCAATATTGGCTACAGGCTGAGGGTGCATGTGAACCACAGGCTATACAATGCCTGTCCATTTTTTAAAACAAACCTATAAGGAACGGGGGGGGGGGGGATCAGAATTTCTCTCTTCCAGAGGTGTCACTCCAGTCCTCAGATGTGCAAGTTAAAGCTATCCAATTTTACCATAAATGTGGTAGGTTAAGGTTAGAAAACAGTGGTATAATTAACCTTTTCTTGACTTGGGCATGGCACAGCTCACCAACTGGTGGGTAGATCTAGATGACCTGCAGATTCCTCTGTGTTTGGGATTCCTAAAAGAAATAGTCTGCATGGTACAGGGGTAGCCCTTGGTAACTGGGCACAGTAGATCCCCTTTCTACACCTTTTGGCCACAACAATTTCCTGTTTTCCTTTAGCATTTCAAATACAGTCACAGACCAGCTTAACATTACTTCTGTCTACAAGTCTAATAATAATAATAATAATAATAATAATAATAATAATAATAATAATAATAGTTGGGTTTCATTAATGAAACATAGACTGAATTCAGGCAGCATGGTAACACAAACTCAAGGGGTGAGTATGGGTTGCATGGGGGTTGTATTTAGACTGAGGGTTGTTGAAAAATTCATTATCATGTTATCTGAACCCAGCTGTGCCAGAACCCCATGACTTGTTAACCATGAATAACCCACAAAGAGAACCCATGGTTTGTTTTTAGGTTGTGAGCTGTGGGTTGTTCACCATAGTTTATCTTGGCTGAGTTCTGACATGATAACCCACATTTCAGGCAACAACCCATATTAACTGACAATGCACACTAAACCCTTGAGTGTAGTTACCCTTGATCATGATGTCTGAACCCTTTAATTGAATCCATTCCTTTTATTGATCGCTTCATTTTGCCCCATTTAACCAAAAAGAGGGGAGTTGCAACTCCATATCAAAACCTTCAAGATGTGGTCTCATGCTGACCTCTCCTGGCAAGACAAGGCATTCCATCACAAACTTCTTACATAAAATATTTGATAGGTTTAATTTGATTGCCCATTCTTGTTGGGTATGATGGCAGTTGCTGTCCAGCACATGCAGAGGACAACAAGTTTGGGAAGGCCAGTTAAACAAAATGACATTACAATGGCAGCCAACTC